AGAGAGGAAGGGAGAGGGAGAGATAGAAACATCAATGAGAGAGAACCATTGATTGGCTGCCTCCTGCATCCCCCCTACTGGGGATTGAGCCCACAACCCAAGCATGTCCCCTTGACTGGAATCGAACCTGGGACCATTCAGTCCTCAGGCCAACACTCTATCCACTGACCAAACCAGGTAGGGCTGGTAATTCTATTTTTCTTCCAGGCACTGAAAAGTCACATAGCTTTCAGGGTCCCAGGTTTCTGGGAGGGTCCTATAGCTCATCTTAAGTTGGAAGGTGAGACGGGTAGGGTTGGCGGGTCCCTAAAATTATGTGGTCCATGCCCGGTTCTCCACCTTCCTCTGTGCTATTTGGAGGACGGCACATGCAGGGCACCCAGGAAGGCCGCGAGTGGCATTGTAAGCAGCCCGCTGCGGGTGGGAGTGACTGTGGGAACCCTCTGAGGGAAGGAATTACGCCATCGGCACGCCCACTGTGCAGGGAGGAAGGGGCGGGGCTCCACTCGCCGGTGGAGGGCGGGCTTGCGTCGGCTAAGTGAAGCGATTGGCTCTGCGTAGGGGAGGCGGCCCTTTTCCGCTGAACGCCGGAAGTTGTTCTCCCCTCCTGCCAGTGGGCCATGGAGTTGGTGGCACAGTAACGTCTGAGGTGTGAGGATTGCGGGGCCGGCGGCCATGGAGGCCGTGCTAAACGAGCTGGTGTCTGTGGACGACCTGCTGGTGAGGCCTGGCCCAGAGGGAGGGAGAGGAAAGGTTCGGGCGGGCGGGTCCTGAGAAGAATCGGATAGGGGCCAAACCCTTTTCTCATCATCAGCCTTCCCTAGTGACGCTGAACTACTACTCCCGGCAGCCTTTGCAGCGTCCGTCTCCTGCCGAGATGTTCCATTTTGCCCCAGAGACTAATGGGACTTGTAGTTTCCTACGCCACCACGCCTCAGACTCAAGGCCTGGAGTCTGGCTTGGAAAGACTGATGGGTTCTGGGTGCGTGCAACAGTTAGGTCAGAGTCCTAACCTGGTTTAGAGTGCTCCCTCGGTGGCGACCACCATAAAGTTTCATATGTTACTGTATCTGGCACGGTGCTAAGTACATCGCAGGCGATATCTCAATCTTTGAGTTATGAGAGGTAGGCAGCATCTTGTTCCCGTTTTGCAGATAAGAAAAAGTCCAGACTCGGCAAAGCGGGACGGGATGGGGGAAGCAGTCTCCGACGAGGGACTGTGTGGGCTGCTGAGCAGTTCTGACTGGTGTTGAACAGCATGTTTACTGTTTAGCCACTCGGGGTCAGTTGCTCCGGGAGCGGTGCCTGGAACCGCCACCAGGTGGCATCTCCACTCAGTACCAGTAGGGGGAGGGAGCGGGGATGGGGGTGGGGT